ACTATTTCAAGGCATCTTCATTTCTATGTGTGCCAAACATTTTAGTAAGGTGATATTATAAACAGATGCATTCATTTCAAAGCTGTGACACCTTTTATTCAGACTTCTGCTGCCTTTCTTTTCAGATTTAAATTCTATTATCCCTACACAAAACTAAATAAAACATTGGAGAAAAGCAACCGAGTGCTGCTGAGTATGCATACAGTGACCCTCCTGATGATCTTTGCGCTGCTCTTTTATCCTCTGGCTTTTCACAGAGAAGAGTTTTAGGATCAAAACATTTTTATCATGAATAACAATGGATTTTTCAGCAATTAACTACTGATTCTATTATTGTCTACAAATACCGGCTTGCTTTTGGTGTAATGCCAAACCATTGTTAAGACTCTGTGTGTGAGTCTGTTCCCCATTCTTCTGCTCTCCAGTCCTCTCTCTTCCCTTTAAGTATAGTCAATGTTTTGCTTCTGGTCAATTAATTATATCCCAGTCCAGAATGAGCATTGCAGTTGGTTTGTCCAAGTTTGGACATAGGGTTGTTGTCAATGCAAGAAAGTAATATGTGCTTCTGGCTGTAATTTCTTCTGAAATAAGTTGTTTCATTGCCAGACATTTACTGTAAAGGGCATGATCACATACATTAAGCCTTCAAGTGTAGAAATCAACACATCGAACCCTGAGGAGACAAGACTGCTGCAGTAGGTAATAATAATAATAATAATAATAATAATAATAATACTTTATTTGTACCCCGCTACCATCTCCCCAAGGGACTTGGTGCGGCTTACATGAGGCCGAGGCCGAACACAACAATACAAGCAATAATCACAACAATACAAGCAATTAAAATAAAACATAAACATATAACATTATCAATAAGACAACATACAATTAAAACTATGGGAAGGCCAAATGTAAAACTAAAATTGGAAATAGTGCTGAACATGGATGAACAGGTGATAGTGGCGTTTGTGGAGAGACATATGTAAAATGCTTTAGAGGGACAAAGTGCTATGGGATCGTTAATCCGGGAAGGCACACTGGAACAACCACGTCTTCAAGTTCCTCCTCCTGAAGACTGCCAGAGTTGGGGCCTGCCTGATGTCCTTAGGGAGTGAGTTCCAGAGTCGAGGGGCCACCACCGAAAAGGCCCTCTCTCTCTCGTTCCCACCAATTATGCATGCGATGCTGGCGGGATCGAGAGCAGGGCCTCTCCAGATGAACGAAGAGATCGTGTGGGTTCATATACAGAGATGCGGTCACGCAGGTAGGCGGGTCCCAAACCATTCAGGGCTTTGTAGGTAAGAACCTGCACCTTGAATTGGGTCCGGTAAATGGAGCTCCAGTGGAGCTCCTTGAACAGGAGGGTTGACCGCTCCCTGTAAGGAGCCCCAGTTAACAACCTGGCTGCCGCCCATTGGATCATCTGAAATTTCCGGGCTGTTTTCAAGGGCAGCCCCACGTAGAGTGCATTGCAGTAATCCAGTTTAGAGGTGACTAAGACCACCTTGGCCAGATCCGCCTTCCCGAGGTATGGTTGCAGTTGGCGCACAAGTCTTAATTGTGCAAAGGCCCTTCTGGCCACCACCGACGCCTGAGCCTCAAACGTAAGTGAAGAATCCAGGAGGACCCCCAAACTGCGGACATGTGATTTCAGGAGGAGTGCAACCCTGTCCAGCACAGGTTGCCACCCTATACCCCGGTCTGGTTTACGATCGACCAGGAGGACCTCTGTCTTGTCGGTAGGTGAGTGTATACATGCTATGTCAATACCTGGTTAGCAGTTGGCTTTGTTAGAGTTAATCCTTTGAGAAGAAAACATCAAGAGAACAATTCATAGGTACACAGAACTATGGACTCATCAACTGGGTTGAACATCATGGAAGATCATTCATAAGAATGGGACGGAGTGTTATCAGTCTGCTGATGACACCCAAATACATTTCTCTATGCCTGCAAAAACAACTTCAGCTAAGGATAGCACTTCTTCTGTTAATAGAGAAGCTAATGGGCTGGATGAGGAAAAACAAATTGAAACTGAATCCAGACAAAACGGAGGTGCTTGCCATCAAGGGTCCTAATCTAGGGATGGAGGTATGTCACTCAGTTCTGGATAGGGTTACACTCCCTCTGAAAGACTGTTTGCAGCTTGGGAGTGCTCCTGGATCAGTCTCTCCAAATGTCAGGCCAGGTAGATGTGATGGTCAGGTAGATGCAACGGTCAGGAGTACTTGCTATCAGCTTCGGCTGATATGCCACATGTCCCCCATCCTAGATTTGGAGGACCTTAAGATGGTAGTGCATTTATTTATTTACTATATTACTACCCCACTCATCTTACCCTGAAAAGGACTCAGAATGGCTTACAGTTATGACAAAATTCAATACCTCATTAGTAAGGTAAAGGTAAAGGTTTTCCCCTGACATTAAGTCCAGTCATGTCCGACTCTGGGGCGTGGTGCTCATCTCCATTTCTAAGCTGAAGAGCCGGTATTGTCCATAGATACCTCCTAGGTCATGTGGCCGGCATGACTACAAGGAGCGTCGTTACCTTCCCGCCAGAGTGGTACCTATTGATCTACTCACATTTGCATGTTTTCGAACTGCTAGGTTGGCAGAAGATGGGGATAACGGGGGGGGGGGTGCTCACGCCACTCCCCGGATTTGCGCCAACTCCACTGGCTGCCGACTTGCTACCGGGCTCAATTCAAAGTGCTGGTGTTGACCTTTAAAGCCCTAAACAGTTCCGGCCCAAGCTACCTTTCCGACCGCATCTCGGCCTATAAACCCACCAGGACTTTGAGATCTTCCGGGGAGGCCCTGCTCTCGATCCCGCCAGCTTCACAAGCACGGCTGGCGGGGACGAGAGACAGGGCCTTCTCGGTGGTGGCTCCCCGGCTGTGGAACGCCCTTCCCACAGATATTAGATTAGCACCATCTCTAATGGTCTTCCGCAAAAAAGTAAAGACCTGGTTATTTGTGCAGGCGTTCGAATAATTAGTGCAAGACTGGTAATGACATAGGTATGGAACAATGGATGACGAATCTGGATCATGTTGTTAGTGACGAGACGCTAGTGAATGGTTATCATAGTAATTGTGTATTACTTGTGTATTAGATTAGGTTATTAACTGTTTTATATTGGTGTTTGAATTCTGTTGTGTTCTGTGTCTTGTGAACCACTGTGAGTCGCCTTCGGGCTGAGAACAGCGGTATAGAAGCAAAGTAAATAAATAAATAAATTTGAACCTGCGACCTTTCGGTCAACAAGTTCAGCTCTCAGTGCTTTAACCCACTGTGCCACCGGGGGCTCCAATACCTCATTACAAATACAACACATTGAGCAATAAAAACAGATGAAACATATACACACAATTAAAACATATTAAAACATAAGGCCTAGTCGTTATGTGTGTCACTACATTTATTTTTATTTATTTATTTATTTATTTACAGTTCTTATATTCCGCCCTTCTCACCCCGCAGGGGACTCAGGGCGGATTACAGTAAACACATATATGGCAAACATTCAATGCCAGTTTGACAAACAACATTTAACAGACAAAGGCTATTTAACTTTTTTTTTTTCTGGCCGCCAGGGGAGCTGCTGCTTTTCATCGTCCATCAACGACACCGATGAAGTTCTTCCGCATTCCACATTCCCCGGAGTCTTCTTTCTTTATGGCCTCATAAATTAGTTAAATTTAGCCTCCCACACAAGGTGGTACCTTATTTTCCTACTTGACAGATGCAACTGTCTTTCGGGTTGCAAAGGTCGACAACGGGCTACACAATGGCTGGACACCCACTCCAGCCCGGGCTGGCTTCGAACTCATGACCTTTTGGTCAGAGTGATCTTAATGCAGCTGACACTCAGCCAGCTGCGCCACAATCCCGGTGCTTTAAATCGAATTCCATTTAAATCGAATTCCATATTGCACTACTCCTCAAACGCCTGGTCTCATAGCCATGTCTTTAACTTTTTCCTGAAGGCCAGGAGGGAGGGGGCCAATCTGGTGTCACTGGGGTGCATGCGCAGGTAATCTCATGGTTGGACTTCTGCAATGTGCTCTACAATGGGCTACTTTTGTACCAAGTTCAGAAATTTGGTACAAAAGTAGTTGGTTCAAAACACAGCAGCCAGATTGGTTACAGGAACATATAGGAGTAAGCATATTCTACGTAGTCTAAAGTCATTCCATGGAGCCCTTGGGACCCCTCGAAACATACTGAGGAACTCCGTGATTCACTTCTGCCTCTCCCCCACCTCCCTGCCAAGTAGTTTCCAGACGAAGTATAAGGTATTGGTATTGACCTTTAAAGCCCTACATAGTTTGGGTCTAGGTTAACTAAAGAATCACCTTCTCCCATATAATTCACTCTGCACACTTGGGTCCTCTGGAGGGGCATCTGCTCCAGAACCTGACTAGCGAATGTCACCCAGAGGATCTTTTCATCTATTGCCCCATGACTGCAGAACAACCTGCTGGAAGATCTTTGACAGTTAGATTAACTGTCAGAAGACACAAGTGAAGACCTATCTCTTATGGCAGGCCTACCCAGACAGTTTTAATGTGAAATTTCAAACTTCCGCTTTCTGTATAACTTTTGTTTGTGTATTTTAAAGTGTATTTTAATATTAATAAGTGTGTTCTATGGAGTGTTTTTAAATGATTATGTGTTTTGATTATGTGTTTTAGCAATGTTGTAATCTACGTCGAGCTGTGAGGAGAGGCAGGAAAGAAATATTGTTGTTGTTGTTGTTGTTGTTGTTGTTGTTGTTTCATGCACCTTATGTTCATTGGCACATCACAAAGAGACAAACCTCTGCCAAGTAAGTGTGCAAACCAAGGCTTTGTTTATCCCAACTCTCACAAACATGAATTTTCCCAAAAGTGATGAAACAAATCCCATGAGTTACTTCAAGAACAGGTCAAGCAGGTGGAGGGTACCAGGATAGGGAAGGCATGTTTGTCCTGTCTCTCCTCACTATTTTTACTTACATTGTTCTGCTTGTGTCTGAAATCCTTTTCCCTCTGGAGCCTGTAGTGGTCAATCTCAGCGGTGGCTTCTTCCTTGGCTTGCTTCAGTCTCTTTCCTTTTCCTGAAATAGCAAAGAAAACATTTTAATTGGCAGAATAGTCGAACTTAATATGCCATAACATTTGCTATCTATAGCATTTCTCCAATGTGTGCAAATCTCCAACTTGTAGTTGTGGGAGGTCACAGAGAAATTTGCCCTTGTTGTATTTTGGGCTCTGTGGGCCAACTGTCCATGGTTTCCTTGGTATACAACCCAACTTTCAGATTCTTCCATCTCTTTCCTTGTGTATGTATGTATCTTCAAGTCTCCCGTTGACTTATGGTGATCCCATGAATTTCGCAGAGTTTTCTTAGGTAAGAAATAATCAGAAATGACTTTGCTAGTTGTTTACTCTAAAACATGGTTTCTCAAACTTTTTCAGCCATGGAGCCCTTTTTGAAGCAAAGGTTTCTTGTGAAATCCCAAGAAATGTTTATATATAATATTATATTAAATGTATATATTATACATTTGGGCAAATGTTTGACCAACATAAACTTAACAGTATTTCAGTGGAATACCCAGGGGTTATCCAGTCCAACCTCCTTCTGCCATGCAGGAAAAGCATAACAACAACAACAATAACAACAACCACAACAATATATGGAGATGAGCACCACTCCTCAGAGTCAGACACGACTAGACTTAATGTCATGGGAAACCTTTAATTTATTATTATTATTATTATTATTATTATTATTATTATTATTATTGACACAAAAGTACAGTATATTACAGCAAACGAGATCTATATGCTGGATTTTGTATCAAAAAATCACAAGTTGAAAACTTCCCAAACCTTCCAAGGACTGTGTGATGTATTATTATTGATAATTGTACTGTGTTTTTGTGTCAAAATAATAATAATAATAATAATAATAATAATAATAATAATAATCTATATAAATAAAAATGTAATGTTTGTTTGTGGGATTAACATAACTCAAAAACCACTGGACGAATTGACACCAAATTTGGACACAATATACCTATCAGGCCAATGAATGACCATCACTCATAAAAACAATGGAAAACACAGCAGAAGAGACTTAAAAAGCCAAAAACCAAAAATTATATTAGCGCATGTGCAAGCCACATTTATATACATACACATATATACACACACATATACACATATATACACACACAAAACACATACACAGAAAGGGGGAAGGAAGGAAGGAAGGAGAAAAAGAGAGAAAGAGGGAAAGAAGGAGGGAAAGAGAGAAATGAAATAAAGTGAAAGAGGGAAGTAAGGAGAAAAGGAATGAAAGAGAGAAAGAAGGAAGGAAGGAAGGAAGGAAGGAAGGAAGGAAGGAAGGAAGGAAGGAAGGAAGGAAGGAGACAAGGAAGGATGGAACCAAAGAGCAAAGGAAGTGAGAAAAGAAACAAGTAGAGAAGTAAGAAAGAAGAAGGGAAAGCAGAAGGGAAAGAAAAAGAGGGAAGGAAGGAAAGAAAGGTGAGAAAGAGGGAGGGAAGGTTAGCCACACAGCAAAGCGTGGTGGGTACAACTATATATATATTGTATAGTTGTATATATACACTGAGCCCCCGGTGGCGCAGTGGGTTAAAGCACTGAGCTGCTGAGCTTGTTGATCGAAAGGTCGCAGGTTCGATTCCGGGGAGCGGCGTGAGCTTCCGCTGTCAGCCCTAGCTTTTGCCAACCTAGCAGTTCGAAAACATGCAAATGTGAGTAGATCAATAGGTACCGCTCCGGCGGGAAGGTAACGGCGCTCCATGCAGTCATGCCGGCCACATGACCTTGGAGGTGTCTACGGACAACGCTGGCTCTTCGGCTTAGAAATGGAGATGAGCACCACACCCCAGAGTCAGACATGACTCGACTTAATGTCAGGGGACTACCTTTACCTATATATACACTAGCCATCCCCTGCCACATATTGCTGTGGCCCACATGAGGGGTTCTGTGTGGGAGGTTTGGCCCAATTCTATCGTTGGTTGGATTCAGAATGCTCTGTGATTGTAGGTGAACTATAAATCCCAGCAACTACAACTCCCGAATGTCAAGATTGTATTTTCCCCAAACTCTACCAGTGTTCACATTTGGGCATATTGAGTATTCACGTAGAGTTTGGTCCAGATCCATCATTGTTTGTTTCCACAGTGACGATGATGACTGTGAGATTTCTGGGAATTTCACCCCAAAATATCATTCTGAAGCTCTGGTGGAAGCATAAAGTTGAAAGTTTGACCTGTGTTTAGATTCCACACAGTTGGCTACTAAATTGTATCTATTGTATGAGTTGAATTGTGTGTATGTTTCATTTTCAGAATACTTAAGTATTTATTTTGGGCCAATGAAACAAAATTGTTTGCAATTTGCCAGAAATGAAATATTTAAGCGTGTGTGTTTGTGTGTGTGCATTTTTCTCATGTAGACCTGAGAGTAAGCATAATTGCTTCCATCATCACTTGGCCTCTCCTCTTCCCGTCTTGCTCATATGTTGGCGACAGGAAGGAAATTCCTATTGATTTTACTGGGTGGTTTGATGCTGTGCTGACTCCACGGTTAGGGCCCTCTTATTTACTAGTTTTCACACCAGCAACTTGGTTTCTCTAGACTGGAACTGATTGAAAAGCATTGGGGATGTTGTCACAATGCATTTCATGGTCCAATCCTGAAAGACTCCCTATCATCCTTTCAGTTTTAAAGGAAATATATCCCTCCACCACACCCACACACCCATCCTCATTTACAACAGCCAGAGAGCAGATTTGAGCTGCCGTTAATCAGAAAAGACATTATTCTGCAAGATTTGCCATATTGATTTGCTGCCAGGAACCCTTCAGTCCACACCAACTGGATTCTATTTAACACTGGCAGCTTTCCAAGGCACTGCGAAGATACAGCTTAGCCACTAACTGGGTTGCAACATGTACATTTTATGTGTTTCCCTCCACCTTCCTCCCACCACCACTAGCCTTTCCCCCATTTTTTTCTGAATGCAAAGGTGGATGGACTGCTTTGTAGCACTAATATTTCATTCACATGAATGTGAAAATAAAAATCTAGAACTGGAAACACTAATAGTAACAAGGGAAAGCGAACATAGCCAGATTTTAGTCGGGATATAATTTTTTTAATATTAGAAAATTACAACGAAAGAGGGTGAATATTTAAAAGAAGATAGAACAGTAGGAAGAGATAGCAAGCACTCCCCCCAAGGTTCAAAAAAGAAAAAGAAAAAGAATTAAAAATAAAAAAAAAAGAAGAAAAAATACATATATAAAAATAAAAAATAAAAATAGGAATACACATTAAAAAGAGTTGACTTCCATCTCCTCATCAGGTGTTGTATCTCCAAAAATAAAATGTTTCCGTTGCTTCCACATTAAAAAAAAGTTCCTCTTACTTACTTCTTTTTTTCTCGTAATTATCATAGAGAATCCAATCTGTCCTCTTTATCGGGTTCCCGGTATTTTTTTCCCCCCCAAAAAAGTTAGTTCATCCATTAGGCCTGGGTAACAACGGAAAAATTTGTTTCTAAAATCGATTCGTTTTTTGGGGGTTTTTGCGTTTTGTTATTTAAAATAATTACAAAATTTTCCTTTTAAAAAGTTCGATATTTACGAAATTTCGTAAATGTGAAAAAAATTACAAAACATTAACGAATCGATTTCCGAAACAATAACGAATCGATTCGTTAATGGCGGACGCGACCGCGAAATATGCTAAAAAACCTCCAAAAACTTCTGAAGCTTCCCTCTCCCTCTGTTGTTGACTGTTGGTGTGATATTATAATTTTTTTCACTAATTAAACAAAAAACAACCATAAAACTTGCCCCAGACATGCGGAAATAATAACGAAACGACCTCAAAACAATAACGAAACGAATACAATAACGAAATACGAAGCATTTACAAAACTATTTAAAAATTCATTTTTTAAAAAAATTGCTCCAGAATGGTTCGTTATCGTTTTGTAATTAAAAAAATTAACGAATTATTAACGAATTACGAATTAACGAAACGAAACCGCCCAGCCCAATCATCCATCTCTCTTATTTCTCTAATTTTCCCTAACCATTCTTCTATGGTAGGGATACTCTCCTATTTCCAAAGTTTTGCCAAAGATATTCTCGCCGCTGTCGTGAAATAAGCAAATAATTTGTCTTCATTTTCATCTAATTGTAACTCTAAATCTGTAAAACCTAATAGATAATATTCTGGTTTCTTCTTGAATACTCTCTTCAGGATTTTTTGTGTTTCTTTGTGTACCATCGACCAATATTTCACAATTTCTTTACATGTCCACCACATATGATAAAAGGTACCTATCTGGTGACAACCTTTCCAATAATTATCAGAAGAATTTTTGTTTATAAGAGCCAGTTTCTTAGGAGTGGTAGTCGGGATATAATTAAAAGGATCAAAGCGTACTAATCTGTCACCCCCTCCTCCCTTCAGTCTTGTAAACCTCTAGATCAGTGCCAACATTTCTGAGTGAGATTGAGCCATGTGCTTGGATTTGTAAATGTAATCAAGGGTGCATCCACATGATAGAGTTAATGCAATTTGACGCTGCTTCAACTGCCATCACTCAATGAAATGGAATCATGGGAGTCGTAGTTTTACAAAGTCATTAGCCTCCCCTGCCAAAAAGTGCTGGTGACTCACCGAAGTACATTTCCTCGGATTCTATAGCATTGATCCATGGCAGTTAAAGTGATGTCAGACTGCATTAATTCTACATAGAATCATAGAATCAAAGAGTTGGAAGAGACCTCATGGACCATCCAGTCCAACCCCCTGCCAAGAAGCAGGAATATTGCATTCAAATCACCCCGACAGAAGGCCATCCAGCCTCTGTTTAAAAGCTTCCAAAGAAGGAGCCTCCACCACACTCCGGGGCAGAGAGTTCCACTGCTGAATGGCTTTCACAGTCAGGAAGTTCTTCCTCGTGTTCAGATGGAATCTCCTCTCTTGTAGTTTGAAGCCATTTTTTCGCGTCCTAGTCTCCAAGGAAGCAGAAAACAAGCTTGCTCCCTCCTCCCTGTGG